AATTTGCATTTTGTTAGGTTAGCCATGGGGGGGGGGGGGGGGGGGGGGGAATGTTTTAAACAGAATTTATCAAAGTGGTAAAGTCTTGTCAGAACAAGAAGGAATTGTGCATGTCCAGGTGAAATCCAAGAACTCTGATAAGACTGTTCCCCGCAAAACTGATAAGAAACACTGTCCTGCCTCTTTGGGAGATACTCATGGACACAGCAGGGCTTCTGCCAGAGCAAGGCTTGCATTAGCTATGTTCAAAATAAGGTCTGGAAGTTCAGGTCAAGCTCTAATCTAAATGGGTACAGGGGAGCAACACAAATACTGTCGTGCTGTATGACATGGGACCAGGCAGACACACCAGCCGGTGCTAAAGGGGTAGGTGATGGCTAAAGGTCTCGTCCCCACCTCTGCTCCCTGCTCCTTCCTAGACACAAAGGAAGACTTCAGTCTCTTTCTCCTGTCTCCCAGCTGTGATTCAGCAGTGAATCCTCTTGTTAGAAAGGTGCCTCAGCATTCAGACCCCCCTCTCTATCCCCTAGCCTGCACATTAGGGAGAGGGGAACTGCAAAGCCAGCTGCACAAATATCTCTGCTTGGCTGGGGCTGAGATATATGCAATGGTCCAACATATTCAAGGCCTTTCTGAGCACAAAAAGGCAATGCCAAGACACAGAAAAATGTCATCAAGGCCATAGATAGGTGGGTTTCTTGCACTTCTTCTGCATCTTAGTCTGAACAGGCAGGCAGAGCGCAGGGAGACAAAGAGGCCTTTCTCAGCGAGCAGTGTGGCGTGGGTCACCTCAGGCGGCTGTCTGCCTGCCCAGTCCCCTCTCCCCTGTTCTGATTGTAGCTGCATCCTTTCTGCATCAAGATGTGGATGCTTAACGCATGCTCACCTTTGCCCTCAGCTACAAGCTGTTTCTGCTTAGCTAATGCTTTCCTTGGCAGGCTCAGCCAGGCAAGGCAGAGTTCAGTTTGCACCCCGATCAGCTGAAGCACAGATGACTGGCTCTGGGAAACGCTGCAGGGACGTGGCCAAAATGAACTGAAGTCACTTACATGGAGCTGCAAATTGCTCTGTGCTGGTACTCAGCCAGTTTGATTCTGGCCCATGACTGGGCATCCAGCCACAGCCAAAGCACAAATCAAAATAAACAAACCAGGAGTTTCTGCTAGGGGCACATTATGAAGAGATTTTCAAAGCAGGATTTGAGAACAGAATCCTGTCTGTCTTTACTGCCTTAGCACAGACCGTTCACAATGACAGACCCTCTAAAAAAGCTTTAAGCACAGTTAGTGTAAGTGGGAAATGGGCAAGATGTAAGGCACAGGACAAGAGTTAAGATATATAGGGCTTTTCACAGCTCTGACACAGGTCTCCCATGCGAGCGATGCATGCCAAGCTTTCAAAAGTAGTCAGAGCGAATGGCCGAAGCTCAGCTGGTCCTGAGTAAAGGCTTAAGAATCTGACTTCATTTTATCTGACACTTCTATTTATTTGTTGAGAAGCAGCCATTAGTCAGCAGTCCATGAAAGAGACTGCTATGGGAAACCCATGACTAATAATTCTCCTTTGATTCACTTGTTCTCATTAGCAGGTTGTTTGGAAGAATACATTGCACAGCCTCTTGTGCAATAGCCCTGTGCAGAGTCCATGGATGCAGGGAGACGGACATCCCCAACACCGATCACATCTTCCAACGATCCCTCAGCAGAAATACGTAGGTTGGAATCGCTATGGCGAACACAACACTGCAGATCTGGAGCACAATAAGTGAACAGGCAAAAATCAGGCAAATCTGCCACAACCCAGAGTAAGCTACAGAGCTGCCTCTTTAAGGCCTTTGCTAGGGTAAGAGAAGAGGTTACTGAGCAGTTTACTCCATAGCAGGGGATAAGGAGGTTTGTGCTGACTCTCAAGCAACCTAGCTAGCAGGCTGTGACTTGGCAGCCCACCGCTACTTTGCCCGCTTCCCTGCTGCCCCAGGAACTGAGTGAGCGGTGAGCGATCTGCCTGCGCACGTCACGGTACGCCTCCCCGAGCACCAGAATTAGCACGCTGCTGGACACGGTGCAGGGGCCAAGCCGTTCGCCCTCCTGCCCACCCAGGCGTTTTGCAGGGTGCAGAATGCAGTAGCTCAGGACTCTCTGCAGAGGAAGCGGTGGGACCCCCTCACATCTGCGAGGGGAGACATTTCAGGCTTCGTCTGTATGACTCAGCTGTTCACTGCAAGTCTCGGTGGCAGCAGCAAGCAGCACCGAGATTCACAATTTGTTACCTATAAAATTAAAAGAAGTTTTATCAAACGTGTACTAGTAAACATCCTCCAGAGCACAGAGACTCGCACAGAGACTTACCCTCGTAGCAGATAGACTAAACTACCAAAACCCCCTATCGCAGCACTTCTTGTCTCAGTCCACCAGAGAAAAAAGCAAGCAGGGGAAATAAGGGCCTTCTTTAGCCAAAATAGGTGCTACTAATCAAAAGAATCAGACATCTACAAACTAAAAATAACCACTTACAAGCATACCTCTTTGAAGATAGAAGAATTATATCTA